CACCCCTCCTGGAGACCTCGAGTCACTGTTGCAGTGTGCATTGCGAGAAGGGTCCCATCTGTGCATCCGCTCCTCCCTCCGCTGGACCCCAAGCCCATAGTCTTCCTGCCCCCAGCTGGCATAAAATACTCTTCCCGCCTCCCAAGTCCCTTTTTATTATGGAAAAAAGTAAGCATTAAATAGTGAAGAGGATAGTGTAATGAACCCCATCACCTAGCTTTAAAAAATACCGACTTAAATCTAATGTTTTCATTTGTCTCCCCATCCCCTGATGATTTTGAAGCAGGCTCTGCGCTGTAGCACAGCGCCCATGCCCAGCACCAAACAATAGAAAAGCAATTCATCATTTCATCTGCAACTATTTCAGCATGTATTTCTAAGATGTAAGAACTTAAAAATCACTATGATTTAAAAAAAAAGTTGTTACGAAACAAGTAGACAGTGCTGAATGTGCCATCGAACCACTTGTCAGCTATGGAATCTGTTGGAAAAAGAAGTTACTAACTTAAGGGGACTTAGAGGTGGGATGTTTTGATTTCTGGGAGAGCAGCACCACTCAGCAGTTCCTCTGTTCACTATGGTGTGTGAACTCTGAATACTTTAAATTTCTCCTCTAGCCTAAAGGCTATATTTTGGCAAAGGCCTTTTGTCTTTATGCCATCAAAAAGGCAGCACTGGGAGCACTGCTAAGAGCCTGGAACCAGACAGGCTTTGGGTTCAAGTCCTGGTTCTGCCTCTTAGTGGCTGTGTGACTTGGCAAAGATACTCAACCTCCCAATCTCAGGAACCTGATGTGTAAAATGGAGCCAAATGTGGGTAATGAGAGGCTTGTAGGAGGTGCTGAATCTCAGCCTGGCATCTGGTAAGCAATCCTCAAATATTAGGCTCTTCCCTAATTGACCCATTTTCCTTCCCATTCAGTGTGTCAGTGACAATTCTCTGAAAAGCTGAAAAGAACAAGAGCTTCCTGCCCAGGGAGAACTCCCAACCATACTTCCAAGTGCCCAGATTCTGTGCTTCTTGAATTTTATTTTCCTACTTAACTCTTTATGCTATTGCACTGATGCTGTTTCCCTCTGGTCTCTTCTGGAATCTCCCCTGGGCTAGAGAAGAATGGTCACTTGGTCCCTGTGGCCTTCATGCCCCCTGCTTGTCTCTTGCGTCAGAGAAGTAGGTCCCCTGTGGTTGCTCTGTATCTGGGGAGCTGCCCCGGTCTGGCAACTGCCCTGCAGGTCAGGGCAGGCAGAGAGGTCAGAAGCTACAGTGTTGGCACCTAGGAAATAATTAGGCTGCAACTATCGCCTGCATTGCATTGCCCAGGGCTTGTGGCTTCATTCTTTCACTCAACAGGTTTATCAGCTCTGGGATGGTGGTTCCCGAACCTCTAGTTCTCTTGCCTGTTTTCGAACAATGGATCTTGGGGTTTAGGCACCCCAGCCCCTGCTCAGTATAGTGCCCTATTACCTGTAGGGCAAAGACATTGTTTGACCGTATTGGAAGCTCATCCACCGGGGTGCTGGAGTGGGTCCTTTTAGTTGTCATAGGGAGGTGGGTGCGTGGGGGGTGAGACTCTAGGCTGTGGTATTTCCCACTAGTTCCCTACCAGTGCAGAAGTCTATTGTACTATCACTCCAAGCTTCTCGTTGTCAGCCCTGCCTGTCCACCTGCCTCTTCCCATGCTTGTCCGGACACCTCCGTGCTCCTGGGGCCTGGGCTCAGGGAATGAGAACCCTGCTTTAAGTTTTATCACAAAAGCCCTGTCAGTTTTCCACAGAAGGAAACTAAGGTACTGAGCAAAGATGTAACTGGTCAAGGTGTTCTTAGCTTCCATCTGGATGCCCCCAGCCCTCAGCACACTGCCCTCACCTAGCACACAATGAGCCTTCTGTAAATGTTTGTAGAGTGAACAAGTTACCCAGGGAGGGACTCGGGGACCCAGGGAAGGAGTGTACTTGGTATAGTTCGCATACAGTTCCCTCCAGTGCCCCATGTGCTTTGGTCTTGATCGAAACTAGGTATAGAAACCATCGTACTTCATAGAAACCAGGCCAAGGGCTTAAAAAGACAAAGGTTCTTCATAGCCACTGAAGTGTTTTTGTCAGGGTTGGGGGCTTTGCTGAAAGGGGGCTTGGAGGCCTGAAGGGGCCTGGGGGAGGGCTACAGGATGTCTTTTCTTTCATTGGTTGGGTGGCCCTGCCCTCCTCCCCCTCCTTCTCCTGGAACATTCCACACATTCCAGACTGCCATTGCTTTCAGGATATGGATTAACATCCCGAACAGAGATTTGATTTCACCACCCCATCTCCTCCCCACCCTGAACAGAAAGCTTTAAGGCAAGGAGTTTGAAGGAGGAGGGTATTTTTTGATCTTTGACCTGAGATGATACTAAGGGGCCATCTTGAAAGAGCGCTTGTCACACTGAGCTCCTGAGCTGGGGTTGCTTTAGGCCCTGATTGGCTTGAACGCCTCGCTTCCCGGCTGGCAGCCCCTGCCCTTTTCTGCTCCTCATCCAGAAGACGCCTCTTGAGGGAAGGCATGGGCTTGGGCCACCTCTGTCATTGGTGTCAAGCTGGACCAGTGTTCTTCCAATGGCATAATTATTTTTTTCTCAGTTCTCCAGCAATTTGACTTTTCATTGTGAGGGGTTCTGGATTGACTCTCCTCCATCCAGCTTGTCACCAAGGGATTCGTATGAGAAATCCCTCACGAGGGCAGGTGCCCTGGCCTCCCTGTTGGCCAGTGAATTGAATCACAAGAAGGTAGCCTGGCATTGGACCCGAGGACCTGATATTGGACTTGTTTCTCTGATCCTTAGCCTTTTGTCCTAATGTGTTGTCTGATCACCTTCCTTCAGGTTCACAAACCAACCAAAGTAGAGAGCTATAGACATAGATTCTCTTCAAAACTTATTTTCCTATCCCCCTAAGTTGTTTTTTTTATCCCTGAAAGAGATTTTCTTAATATAGTTCATCAGTGACTTTCCATACTCAGAGCCACCTAGCTAGAAGGGACTTAGAGACGCTTTCATGTCTATTTCATGTCCATGGGGGTGAAATCTGTGAGCTGGCCTCGGACATCCAAGATTGAAACATTTATAGTTAGAGCTTAGCATCCATTCCCTTGGTTCCGTATGTTTTCAATACCCCTTTCTCCTGGCTTGGCAGGAACTGACATGATCCCCATTGCGTAGGGAGACAGCGGCTGCCGCAGAAGTGGCTGAGTCAGGCGAACACCCAATCAGGAGCAGTTTAAGGGCCAGAACTGGACTTTCTTGCTTCCTAGTCCAGTTTTTCCTCATGCTTGTAGAGTTTTGTTGGACCGTGTCCCTGAATGAAGATTTTGTGATGAGGGATAGGCAAAGACGTAAAGACAATTGACCAATACAGACAAGTCAATAAAAATGCTTTAAGCCCAGCGATTAGGGCATCGATTTGGGTGGTAACCAGTTTCTCTGGGAGTCAACCTTTAACCTACAAACCTTCCTCAGGGAAAATTACATTTTTAAGAGGAATTTTAAAAATGGGAAGAAAAAAGTGTAGTTAACTGGGAGCAGGGAAGGAAGGCGGTGGTCAGGATGCTGGGTTACCTGTGTTAATTCCTCTCACCTTAGTATTCGCATCTATGATTATACTTTAAGTACTTACTCTAAGTACTTTGCTAAGCTCTTTATAATATTATCTAACGTTACTTTATACACCACCCCTTGAATAGGTATTATCCCTGTTTTACAAAGGAAGAAACGGAGCCTCAAAGAAGTTAAATAATCTTTTAAAGATCAGTGCTAGTAAGTGGAATGAAGGTCTAAATCCACACCTGCACAAAGCACTTAACTGCTACACTGTTATCCTGCTGGAGTTTGTTTGCATATATGTCTCCCCAGTAAATTGAGCACCTTGAGGCCAGGCACTTTCTGTTGTTTATCGCTGGGGACACAGCATCTAGAACAAAGTCCAGCATGAAGTAGGCATCAATTAAATGGGTATCACACTAATGAATAATGTCTTATGTAGCTTTGTAGTCTTCATGCCTGAAACATAGTGGGTGGTAATAGATGGCTACTGAATAAAAGTTTCTCTAGTGAGAAAACTAAGGGAAGACAAAGCGGATGTGATTTTTAGGGAATTCTGTTACTCTAGTGCTCAGGGCATCTGACTTTGGTTTTCCTGTCTGTGGTAGCACTGATAATTTTGGTTCCTTAAAGCGAGGACACCCCTACACCAAATCGGCTTTCCCAAAGTTGATCATTCTTCGGCTCTAAGACTTTGTCATTGTGGAAGGTACGGAGATAAAGACTGGGACAAGGATTAAAAACTGCAAGGTCACAGTCCCCTAAAGTATTTAGAGCTGTCACTAATCTTGTTCCCTCTCATTTCAGGAGCCGGAAGATTCAGATTCGAAATATTCCACCTCAGCTTCGATGGGAAGTAAGTGATGGGGGGCAACTCTCAGTGGCTCAGGGTGGTGGGGACTGGAGTGTAAGTCTGGGCCAGCCTGAGTTGGCAGGGATGACTGGGGAGGTCCCCTGGTGGTTTGGGGCCAGGCCAGGGGTGCTGAAAGGAGGTTGATAGGGTCTCATCCTTAACCCAGGACTATCAATATTAGTTCTTTGGGATTTTCTCCCTGTACTGAGAAGCATTACATAGAGGTGGAAAGGGTGTTGTTTCCTAAGCCCCAAACTTAGGGAAAAGTTAACCTGCCTCCAAAAAGCCTCTTAAATGTCTTTTTGAACTTAAGTACATTTCTGCAAAGATACTACGACAGGTCACCACCAGCATTAGTATTCCAGAAAGGGCCAGATGAACACTTAGTAATGCTCAATCCCCACCTGAGGCTCTCTGCCTGTGCTCCGGTGCTTTGGGGTGTGGGGTGTCCAGTGGCTGGTCTTGTGATAGTTCCTGGGATGCTCAGAGTAGCCTTCCTTCCTTTTCCATGTTCCTCCTAGGTCCTGGATAGCCTGCTTGCTCAGTATGGAACAGTAGAGAACTGTGAGCAAGGTAAGAGTGAGCAGACAGAGGTGGTGGGGTGGGAGTGGAGGACTTTGGGGTTTCTGATCTTCCTCATTTTTCCATGAGCATATCTACCTGGCATACCAAAAGAAGACAGACAGACAGGCAAAATGTGGTATGGAGGCTTGGACGTGTGGTCCCAGCTTAGGCTCTGCTGCTTATCTTAGAACAGGTTTCTCCTCTGTTTAATGAGAGACGTGAACAGAGTCCTTCATTCTCCACATGGGGTCCCCAGGCTCCCAGGGGTCAACCAAGGTAGAGATCCTAAGATTTTAGAAATAGTTTAAGAAGGAAAACTGCATTCAGCCCAAGTAAGTCTGCAGCCCTTTTACTTTAAAAGATTCTCTATTCTTTGTTTTCGGCTATAGTAGTCAACCAGTTGTCTGTCTTCAGTTGAAAGCTCTGATTGTCAGCTACATGTCTTTGGTCAATAAAAAAAAAGCAGAGGATTTATTTACTTTAGTACACATTGATGGGCAGGCAAAATCAAGAGTGAGTCCGCAGAAGGAGAAACAATAAAAAGGAATTCTAGACCATGAAAAGTTTGCTATGATTTTTGAGGTTTCTTCATAGCTTAAGATTACAAGAAGAAAATGAGGACTTTTCAGAGGAAATGGGCTAAAATAAAATGGAGTGATATAGATTGGACATTAGGGTAGACAAGATAGATATACTTGAGTCTGTAGATCTTTGGGAAACTTAGATAATCACTTAGTCAGGATTTAAATATTCATCTCCAAATTCTTTGTGTAAAGGGCAAGCTATAAATCATAAATGATTAAAATATTTGCCTGCATGAAGGTAAAGTGCTGAGTCAATCACACAGGTTTTCTCCCGCTCTAATCCTACAGCTTGCCTTTTATCATAAATGCCAGGACACAACTGGATGCACTGATAACCATTGCCCGGTACTGTTGACAGCTTAGACTAATGACTGTTACTCCTGGACAAACCCAAAACGAGAGCAAGATTGAGCAGTGGTTTGGGAATACATGCTGAGCCTCAGGGGGAGGTCTAGCAGTAGTCTCTCTCCAGGGCTGGAGCAGGGAGCTTTAACACACTGATTCTGGAGGGAATACCCGCTGCCTGGGGAGAACAGAATGGGAAAAGTGTCATTTTGTTGGATAATAGAGAGTCTTCAGGTTTGTTCAAATGTAACTTTCTAAGCAAAGTCTCTTCTAATATTCTTTAGAATTTGCTTATTTATTAAGCTTATTTTGCCTCCCTCTACTAGAATGTAAGCTCCACGAAGGCAGCGGTTTCATTTACTACTGTATTTTCATTTAACTAGAACATTATTTTTACAGAATCTTCTTCAGCACTGAGGTGGCAGAGCTCTACTGATGAAGGCTGGAAAGGTTAAGAGTGGTCTGGTTGAGGTTTTGTGGCCAAGGGCCTTATCTTCAATGTTGTGGGGGCAGAGGCTTGATTTTTGTCCATGTCCTCCACCCCAGCATTGAGCAGGCTGTCAAATCACAGGACGATGATGCATACAACAGAAGGTTATTTTTATTAATTTAAGAGAAGAATTTTAATGTCCAACCCAATCTCCTCCCTGTAGGAAAAGAGTATATGATGATCAAGTGAAAATCAAAAGGCTGCTTATGAAGAGTGTGATAGGAATAAGGGCTGGTGCCATGAATTTATGATGCCCCGATGTGTGCGTTTCCATGGTCAAGCTGCTTGGAATACTCAGCCAGGAAATCCTTTTCCCCTGGAAAAGATGCAGACATATTCTCCCCCTCCCCAGACTCCATAGCAGCCACTCTCGTCAACCCTTTTAGCTAGGTCATAATACTCGTACATTTGATTAATGTATCCTTGAGGATACTTAGGCCTCTAAAATGGATTTGAGTGTTTCCCGAGTCTCTTCAGACATATCCTTAGAGACATTTCTTGGGATGTTTACTTCTATAAATTGCTAATCTCAGTGTGTTGATTTTTAACTAGTTTAACTTTCCAAGGGTAAATGTATCAGGCTGTTGTGTGGGCATGCGCGTGCTGGCTGGGCGACTGACCTGCTGCCTGACCGCTGGTATGTTGACTACATCCTTTTGTATACTCAGCTCTCTTGGGGGCTGGGTAGGGAAATCAAAGAAAGACATGCAAGGAAAACGCAAGAAGGTGAATTAGAATCCTCTAAGAGTTCTGGTGAAAGGGGCGGGAAGGGGGACTGTTCTGCCTTGCCCTTCAAGTATTTCATAAGCTCCAAGTGGTCTGCTCCATGCCTTGCTGACCTCACAGTATGGAAGGATGAACTTTTAACGCATGGGATTCATACGTGGCATCTCCAAATTTCACTGCTCTAACCCAGGCCTCTGTTTTGCTCCCCTAGTGAACACCGAGAGTGAGACGGCAGTGGTGAATGTCACCTATTCCAACCGGGAACAGACCAGGCAGTGAGTGGGCTGGAAAGTGGGCCTGGGAGGGTCTTTAAGTGATGTTGCTGCTTCCCGACAGGGAAACGTTCTAGGCAGGCAGGCGTCCCCGCCTGGGTTCTGATATTGTTGGTTCAGGGTCTGATAGCAGATACATTTGAATGGACCCAAAGAACTCCCAGGGAAGGTGGGAGATCCTCTTAGGAGAAAAGGTTGGCTTCTCAGAGACATCGCCAGTTGCCAGAGAACTTCAGTGTCCTTTGCTGTGCTGATGGCTCCATCTAGTGGTAGTAAGGAGGAACTGCAATATTTTTTTAAAGGATTCGTTAATGTAATAATGTGGGGGCAGACATTTTATTGTAGTGATCGCCGTGATCCCTGTTACGCTTGCTAGGGTCCTTTCAGCCCTATCATACCTACACTTTCTGGCTTCTTATCTTTTTGGTTGAGCAGTTAACACTTCTTACCCACTGGTAGTGACGAACTGTACTCGTCACATATTCACCCATGTGGGTAGATAGAGATATAATATCTGTATCTACCTTGTTATAGGCATTTTGCTCTTGATGGGGTTCTTGCTTTTTCATCGCACTGTCTCTGTCCCTTCTGTTTCCTCCAATTTAGGGAACATTGTATAATCCCACCAGTTCCTCGAATACTGTTTTCTTTTAGATGTCTCCTGAGCTCAGAATTTTCTGGAGGCTCATACTGCCCCTTGTGGCCAATCTGTAGTATTTAGCCTGGCTTTAAAGATCGTGTCAACAGCTTGCTTACTACCCACAACCTGTTGTTGCCTTATTTAGTTTTCTAACCAACGGCAGGTTTGGGAATGGGTGGGGTTTGACCCTGTTTTGTGGACATCCCAGATATACTTAAACTCCTGCTTCTGAGTGGGAAGCAAGCCATTCTGTCTCCAACTCGTAACTTCTTTTTCATGGAGTTTCTTTAAAGATGGAACGTGCCAGACTCAAAAGGTAGTTTTGGCTGAAATTTACAAGCAAATTCCCAGATTCCATGGAAATATCTTATTTACTTTACTTTTCCCTTTGATATCCTATGTCATTTAGACTGGAAGATTCTCTAAGGTAGAGGTGGGAGTGGTGGGCAGATGGTCATCTCCTTTTAAGTGTGTTCCATGCTATAACGCAGTAGAGCACTTTACATGTCAAGAAGATTTGGGGTGATTGACATGGATCCAAGTGACCAGTAGAGTCTCTCTCTGTCCCCAGAGCCATCATGAAGCTGAATGGCCATCAGCTGGAGAACCATGCCTTGAAGGTCTCCTACATTCCCGACGAGCAGATAGCACAGGGTCCTGAGAACGGGCGCCGAGGAGGCTTTGGCTCTCGGGGTCAACCCCGCCAGGGCTCGCCTGTGGCAGCAGGGGCTCCAGCCAAGCAACAGCAAGTGGATATTCCCCTGCGGCTCCTGGTGCCCACCCAGTATGTGGGCGCCATCATTGGCAAGGAGGGAGCCACCATAAGAAATATCACGAAACAGACCCAGTCCAAGTGAGTCTTAGCTGCTGGGGAATGGAGGTGGGTGCCAGGAAGCGCAGGGGTTGGTACCTGGGGAGGTGGGGTGCCTCCTGGAAGCACACTGAGGGGCGTCAACATTTACCATTTAGGAAATGTCACCCTGAACATGTTCCCTCTTTCCATTCAGGGATCACTGCTTCCAATCCTTGCCTCCTAGGTAGGGGTGGGCAGTGGCGAGGCAGAATGGGGCTGGGGTATGCCATATGGGGGCGATGGCTGGGCCTCGCACTGTTAGCAAGAAAAGTTCTATAATTTTTCGTAGAAAGTCTCATCAAGTGGACCCCGTCTTGGTGAGTCTGTCTCTCTTCAGTGCTCTGGGATTTTAACACCACTTTTATTGGTGTCAGTAGGGCTGGTCAGCCTGGCCAAAGCCAGGGTCCTCAGTCATAGGTCTCAATTCCATCCTTCCTCCCATGCTACCACAACCATCCCTCTTTAATCTGGACCAGCTGATCAGTGTACTCTGTAGAAAAGAACAGGTCACATTTATGTCCTGTTATTCGTAGTAAATTATTTATTCATAGTAAATTCTTTCTTATTACTTTTAATTTGGGACAATGTGCCTTCACTTTATAGTTGTTTCAAGGGGAAATGCAGCTTCAGAGTTGTGGGCTGTTGCTCCCCAAGCCTGCATTCCCATGGTAGGTGCCATCATTCCAGCCACCGACTCCTGATTAAGTCAGGGTCCAGAACAATAAGCCGGTCATGTGTCTCTGGCCCTTTCTCTGCCGTCCCCAGTTCTGCCCTTGATTGGCCCTGTTCCAAGAAGAGCAGATCCTGTGCCTTTGGTTGAGGAGAGTTGGGAGGAGCCTGAAGAAGATCCGGTTTCTCTAGGGACGAGTAACTGTCCTTGTCCTTTTGGTCCTCAGGATAGACGTGCACAGGAAGGAGAATGCAGGTGCTGCGGAGAAGGCCATCAGTGTTCACTCGACCCCCGAGGGCTGCTCCTCCGCCTGTAAGATGATCTTGGAGATTATGCATAAGGAGGCAAAGGACACCAAAACGTAAGCCTTCACCTTTTCTTGGAACATGGAGACCGTGACCTCTCTGATGCCAACACACACTTTTTCTTAGCAAGAATGCAGAGATATAGGAGATAGTCAGAAAATGTGCAGAAGGATCTGAGCTGCGAAATGACACCCTCTTTCCCATAAGTAACACCTTACATATCCTCCTAGGGATTCTGTGCACTCGCAAGCATGTATGTGTGCATGTGTGTTTTAGCATAAATGGGGTTATAATGGACTTTTTCTATAATTTGCGTTTTCACTTTCACATGTCAGTATGTACTGACTCACCTCATTCTTTTGGTAGCTGCATAGAATTCTATAGTGTGGCTATTTTCAAGTATACAAGTCCATGAGTTTTAGTGTGCACATATCTAAAACCACCACCGCAGCTAAAATAATGAACATATTCGTCGCCCTCACAGTCCTGTGCTCCTTGGCAACCTGTCCCTACTACCCCATTTTTCTATCCCTAAGTGACCACTGATATGCTCATTTTCCTAGTCGTCTTCTTTTTTTTTTTTAATTTTTTTTTTAGGCGAGGTAACCCATGGTTGACCTCACAGATTGCAAGGACCTTGTCAGCTTACAATCCCTTATTTTTTATTTTTCATGCCGACAGCACCTGGTCTTCCTGGGTGGTCTCCCATCCAAGTACTAACTAGTCCCGATCCTGCTTAGCTTCCAAGATCAGACGGGATCGGGCTTGTTCAGGGTAGCATGGCCGTAGACTCACAATCTTCTGAAATGTAATTTTGTCCTGTGGCTCCTCCTGAAAGCTCTGCTGGGGTGGCATGGTGCCTGAGTCTCTACCTGACCCACCATGAGGAGTGCTGGCCCCTCATTTCTTCCCATGTCTCCCTAAGGGCTGATGAGGTTCCTCTGAAGATCCTGGCCCATAATAACTTCGTGGGGCGTCTCATTGGCAAAGAAGGGCGCAACCTGAAGAAAGTGGAGCAGGACACAGAGACGAAAATCACCATCTCCTCGTAAGGCTCTCACATTGCCTTCTTTATGAGCGGGACGCCTAGGGGCCCAGGGTCGACTGTGTTTCATTATTGAGCCCCTTTCATTAATACTTGCCTCTTAAGTTGGATGCAGTTTCTGCCTATCAAAGAAGAAGCATCAAAGAAATGGTAAAGAAGATTTATTTCTATAAGGGCTGGAGCTCTCCCTTCACCACTGCCATGTGGGCTGGGGGGCTTTCTTTAGAGCCACCACCTCAGTCCTGTGCCCTCCACATCCCACCTCAGATGCTCTGCATCTCAAGAAGGGGGTGCCTGCAGCTTGGAGCCGGGGCTTCGGAGTTCCGAGCATGTCTGTCAGGCTGTGAGAAGGGAATGGACCTAGGTCCTTTTGTGAGGATAGCATATGGTCTGTGCGGTGGCCTGACTCACTGGGAAGAACGGAAGTTAAGGGAACGGATTAGCTGCTATGTGACCACTGTGTGTCTTATCTCTCTGTACTTCGCTCTGCTCTAGTTACAAAGCAAAGGCCAGAGACAGAGCTTTCTGGCAAAAGTTAAAGAGCATGCAGAAGTGGTGAGCTTGCGACTCGTCCCTGGCTGGGGCCTGAGCCCATCCTGTGAGTGGAAGGGTGACGCTTCTTTGCCCCTCCCCCCGCTCCAGGCTGCAGGACCTCACTCTCTATAATCCCGAAAGGACCATCACTGTGAAGGGGGCTATCGAGAACTGCTGCAGGGCTGAGCAGGAGATCATGAAGAAGGTTCGGGAGGCTTACGAGAATGACGTGGCTGCCATGAGTGTGAGTATCAGGCATCTCTGCCTGCCCTGCTCTGAGCCTGAGCCACAGCAGAGTGAATCTTCCATGTGGGCGGGGCATGGCATGTGCTGTGTGGCTTTGGAGCATTTATTTGCTTTTGGAATTCGGTTCATCGGAAAAAGGCTTTTAACTTTGATTATAATAGGGGTTCTTCATTTGATTCCTGGGGTGGGGCTTTCAATCTAGGGTTTCGAGCTCTGTGATCCTCCTGTAATTGTTTGTAAAATTTGTCTAAGAGTACACTTTAGTGGGGAGAGGGTCCATAATTTTCATCCGATTTTCAAAGGGGAGTGAGAATGGTAGGGTACGTGACCAAAAAGGTGAGTCCTAGAAGTCAAATGGAGATCTGTCCCTGCCACTCCTCATGTAGGCACATTCATTACAATACCAGGCTGTGAGTTTGTCATCTGTCTCAGTGGAGTAAACCAGAGAGCATGGGCTTCTGACTGGTTGGATCTTCCGATGGGAGTCCAGTGAGAACACCGTATCACTCACAACTCCATACCCTAGGTATATATGTGAGCGTGAATGAGAACCAAAAGAGTAGGCAGGTGTTTGTGTAAAAGCGTGTAATTCTTCTGTTTTTAGCCCACTCTCTCTGGGGGTACTTGTCCTCTTGGTTCAGCCAGTGCCACACACAAGGGACCACCAGGCCCCATCGGATTGAGCTGACCTCCTCCTTACCTTCCTTCCCCAGCTGCAGTCTCATCTCATCCCTGGCCTGAACCTGGCTGCCGTAGGCCTTTTCCCAGCCTCGTCCAGTGCAGTCCCGCCACCTCCCAGCAGCGTTGCCGGAGCTGCTCCCTATAGCTCCTTTATGGTAGGTGCAAAGTCTTATGACAGGGGACACCTGGCCCCGTGTATCACCTCCCTTAAAGAGTCCGACTCCTTATGGGCCTCTGATGCTCAGGAATTCGTAGGGAGAGGGAAGGGAGGTCTGAGGATGCTCCTGCTGCATTGTTCCCAGAACCTCGACCCCATGGAAGGCAATCTCGGATGCTGCCAGGGATGCTGCCAGGGATGCTGGCAGCACTCTTCTTCCTTCCTCCTCTTCCCGGGCATAGGAGGAGCTAAAGAGTGTGTAGCCCAGGTTGGCCACTGGGTGCCTGCACCCCTTCCTTCCTGAGGATGCATGGCAGTGGCATGGAGGGGCTTCCGGACTGTGCCCCTTGGCCCGTGGTGATAACACGCCCTGTCTTGGCAGCAGGCTCCGGAGCAGGAGATGGTGCAGGTGTTCATTCCTGCCCAGGCAGTGGGCGCCATCATCGGCAAGAAAGGGCAGCACATCAAACAGCTCTCCCGTTTCGCCAGCGCCTCCATTAAGGTGATCTGCTGTGTCTCCTTCCAAGTCCTGGGAGGGGAGAGTGCTCTGCTTCCGTCACCTTCTACCTTTGTTCCCAGACGCCCCATTGAGCTGTCGTTGGGGCCTTTTCCCTGTGGAATCGCAGCTGCCCTTGTTTTTGACCTTTCTGGGTCCTCCACCGGAATGCCTTCCATTATTCTGGATTTTCAGGCTAGGGAGGAGGTGATGTCGTAGCCTAGAAAGAGAGCTTAGGTTTTGCCACAGACTGACATGGGTTCAAATCCCCGTCGCTAGGCTGTGTGGCCTGAGCCTCAGTTTCCTCATCAGTACAGTAGTCATCGTAACACTAAGAAATAATGCAGCGGAAGCCTCTGGTTCTGTCAGTGCCTGGTACACAGTGGTTGCTCAGTAAATGTTAGCTGTCTTTTTACCTTCTCTGGCCAGGGTCCCATGGAGACAGCAGGGAAACTGTCACAGTGAAACAAAGGTGTTGTTACATTTCGCAAGTCTAAATCGTTTGTTGCAGTGGTCTTAAAGTTTTGATCAAAAGCAGTGATTGTTTTCCAGTGGATTGTGGTCCCTGCCCTCCCCGCACTGGTCACCTCGTTTGTGCTCCTCTCCTTGGCAAGATTCCACTAAAACCTCTTAGGGAGATTGGGAGGGGGAAGGGTGGGGAGGCCCTATTTAGATGATATCACTGGAGCAAACACATCCTTGCCCTCAAAACGGTTTGGGTGCAGGGGCAATGACTTTGGTGTTCAAGGTCTTCTTCTTTCCCCATGTCCTCAGAAGTGGGTAGGGAGACCGGAACCGTGGAGATAAAGGGTGCCTCTGACCAGATGTTCGCTTTGCAGATTGCTCCTCCCGAAACTCCAGACTCCAAAGTTCGTATGGTCATCATCACTGGACCCCCAGAGGCCCAATTCAAGGTTCTGATTCTTTATTGTTTTTCCAAACTGGATACACTGGAATCAAGGGGGCGGTTGCAAGTTTGTGTCACGTTTTTAAGCTTCCCCTGCGGGATACAGGGCTGCAAGGCCGCTTTCAAACTGGCATCAAACTTCATTTGTTACTTCTGTTTTCCTCATTACTTCCTGAAGATCAGTAGGCTTGTGGGAAAGAAGTCCAAGGGCTTCTTCCTTGTGCTCTGCCATAGTTAATAAGGAAGGTCTTTGATGCCAAATTCCCTTTTCTGTCCCTGCTACATCCCTGGGTTCTCAAACTTCTGGTCAGACAGCCAAAGGCTGATAGTTAACAGCCTGACAGGTGGCAAACAGGAACAGCTGTCTAGGCTATATAGGGTGTCTGACAGCCTGCCCTCTGACTGACTCAACCAGCTGCCACTCAGGACCACGAATTGCTACATGCTGCTTTGTCCAAATATGTGTAGTCTTCCCAGACCCCGTAGATCTGGTGTGTAGCCTGTGAATTATGTTCCTCTTGGAAGTAAGGTACTCTCCTCGGGTTCTCCGATATTACAGATGAGCAGGAGGGACACTGACAGTTCATTCAATGCCGTTGAAATTCTCACCTCATCTGGTCTAGCTGGTTGAGCTACCCCCACCCAGTAGGGTGGGCCTGTGGGCTGAAGGGCTGGATAGAGCTTGGGGACCACACCTCGGAGTGTTTTGTCATGTACGTGTCGCCTGCTGATTCACGACCTCATCTTCTCAGGCTCAGGGAAGAATTTACGGAAAACTCAAGGAGGAGAATTTCTTTGGTCCCAAGGAGGAAGTAAAGCTGGAGACCCATATCCGGGTGCCAGCATCAGCAGCCGGCCGGGTCATTGGCAAAGGTGGCAAAACGGTGAGCTGTGAGGGCCACATTGAAATTTCTAGACCTTGATCCCCAAGCCTAACAGTTCTGCCCTGGCCTCCTGCTCCCCTACCCTGCTCAACCTTAGGACTCTGTTTACTTGATTCTATTCCCCAGGCTCAACTCCCGACTCCTGCACTTTCTACCTGCTAGTCACCAGCCTCTTGCCCCTCCCTCCAATCCCACTCATGCTTTCTTAATGGCTCCCTGAGCTCCTCCTCTCTGCTCACCCTACCCTCAGGTGAATGAGTTGCAGAATTTGACAGCCGCTGAGGTGGTAGTGCCAAGAGACCAGACCCCTGATGAGAATGACCAGGTCATCGTCAAGATCATTGGGCATTTCTATGCTAGCCAGGTATGTATGGCATTTCCCCATGAAAGGAGGGTGGCAGGAGCCTAGGGATCGGAGAAGTGAGACTCTAGAGTTGACCAGAATGACCTTGACAAGTCCTGTGGACTCTGCCTGCCTCCAGTTTGGCTTGTTCTTCTATTTTAGGTGTAGAAGTATGTGTACATGCATTATCTCCTCTTAAGGTTTCCAGGGAGTGATTTGACAGCTTTCATATGTAGTATATGTTATATGCAATAACATTATATACTAGTGGTATTTCCTGTTATCTAAATTTAGTCCTTCCCTAACCATTATTTTTGTGCTGGATAAGTAAAGAAATTGGCATTATCCATCATCCAGTCTTGTTCATGGAAAGGAGACATTCTGGGATAGTTCTGTCAAGCGAATCGCATTCTGCAGTTGATTCCATTATAAATTTTATCCTTAGGGAAGACATTTGTGGAAAGGAAAAAGTAAAAATACGGATCCTTTGGCATTTTGCACATTTTTACAGTGAGGCTTATTTCGATGCTTTTATTGTTCATCCATCTCCAGGCATTTCATCCCCTTTCCGGGGGATAGTTACATGTATAGCGGAGTTGTGATTTGTGATGCGGTCTCCTGGTTGACCCTCTGATCAACTTATACTCCCAGAAACTCTAGGAGTTCCATTTTGGGTTCAGTAATGTGTATTGACTTTGTCAATTTTTAAAGTTTTTCAAGTTTTAAATTCTGAATGAGTTATACTACTGTCTCTCCTCCCCCCGTACCCCCCTGCTCAGGGTCCACCTGGAGGCAGAGAAACCTAAGGTCACTAACCCTTAGTCTTCCTCATCTCTCTTTAAGTCCAGTGCGTCCTGCTGTTTGCTGCTGGGGTCTGGGTCTTGATGGCCTGTCTCCCTGTCGAGGCTGTCTCCTGCTTTGCTTTGGAGGTTCTCACTCCCTCCTTGTCGCCTGTTCTTTCTGCAGATGGCTCAGCGGAAGATCCGAGACATCCTGGCCCAAGTTAAACAGCTGCACCAAAAGGGACAGAGTAACCAGGCCCAGGCACGGAGGAAGTGACCCAGCCCCTTCTCACCGCATCTACTCGAGGACAACGGGCTGAAATCGAGAGCACGTTCTCCCCAGCAGGCCTGAGAATGAGTGGGAATCAGGGACACTTGGGCTGGGTCGTAGATCAGGTTTGCCCACTTGCTTGAGAAAGATGTTCCAGTGAGGAACCCTGATCTCTCTGCCCTAAACACCCAACCAATTGGCTTAACACTGCCCACCCCTCAGGGTGTCACCGTGGAAATTCTAGCTCAGGGTGCTTTTAAACGTGGATTGTTTAAGTAAGTTCTTCAGGTCCCACCGAGAGGGTGGGCCAGTCCCCAGCGGGAAGAGAAATAAAATTTCCTTCAGGTTTTTAAAACATGTAGAGGGGTGTTTTAATCAGCCTCAAAGGACGGTTTGCTTTTTGACCCTAAAATCCTTCCAACCTTCTCCTGCTTGGTTTATTTGATTAAAATACCTCCATTCTCATACCCTGACATAGCCTCTTCCTATATTCACACTAATTGTTTTATCTTTACTGCTACCAGAAGAAGCGAGGACCAATGAAATGCATTGTTTAGTTTATGTTATTGACTCAGAGGGAGAAGACATATCAGCATCTGTAGTTTAATTCCAATCCCTCCCTACCAGCCCCTAGTAACAGCAAAAAATAAAGAAAGGAGGGCGAGAGATGGGGAGACAGATGATTAAAATTTACAGTAATCCACGTTTAAAAGAAGTGCCCTCGTGGCTGATCTGTTCTAGATCACTGTTTTGAAAAATTGGCACAAAGAATTTCCCCCACTCTGCTGGGGCTTCCCCACCAAGATTCCCCACCCGATTCACGTCCCTCCAACCATATAGGTCCCACATCATGCATGTCCAGGTGCACATGGGTGGTACTGAATGCTCAGCGGGATAGGGGCTGACCACTGTACCGTCCCTGATTCCCATCATTCTCAGGCAGATTTTATATTTTTTTAAAGTCTATTTTAATGATTGGATATGAGCACTGGGAAGGGGACACTGCTCCCCTTGATAAAGTCTCAGTTCCATGGAGGACTTGAGTGGCCCCAAAGGCTGCCACTGTGCCCTCACGCCAGCCCACGTGTTTGCATAAGGGCTGGTTCCCAGAGGCAGGGGTTGCGGGGCACTCCCCCCCCCACGGCACTGTTCTTTTGGTGGTGGTGGGATGTGGAACCCAACCCTGAGCTCCCGATAAAGCTAAAGTTTGTCATCTGGCATATATTATGAATATTCAGTAAATTGGAGAGTATTCGCTTCTGTTTTTATCCTAGAAGTATATTTTAACTGATGGCTTCTGCCTCCACAAATCATTGGCATGATGAAAGGTGTTCCAAAAAAAAAAAAAAAAAATTAGAAAAACAAAATCCAAAGTACCAGCAACATACACAAAGGAGTAAATAAGCTTAATTTATTAATTTACCAGGCTCAATAAGATCCCGTTTGAAGTTCAGCCCTTGGGGAAGATGGCAGCCATCAGTTAACTGAGGTTAGGCCTTTCTCGATATACTGATCGCCAATGCATATTAGCCAGATGGTGTACTTTAGCTACCTTGGACAATGCTATCGAGTGTGCTGGGAAGGGTGGAGGCCTCTCTGCGCGTGGAAAAGCCCACGTATGGAGTCCTCTCCTTCCGACATGGCAACAACAACAGTAACAACAAGACGTGGGCGGAGTCAGTCAGGTAATGCTGTGCGCAAGTAAAAAACTACCTCAAGGTATGAAGTTACCTCAGCAATTACTTTCCTTTTTGTTCCCCCCACCTCTTTTTTTTTTTTAAATCTTTTTTTTTTTAATCTTTTTTTTTTTTTTGCGGCTTGCTGATATTTTATATAAAAAAAAAGAAAAGCAAAAGAGAAGCTGATAGTCTTGAATATTTTATTTTTTTAATGAAAAGAAAAAAATGAGAAAGTTATGTTTCATAATTTCTTAATTTCTTACAACATGAGCCAGTGCAACCCTTTAGGAGCTCTGGAGAACAGGCCCCGTGGGAAAGACAGCGGGGGCTCTCTCCTTGACAGGAGGCTGGGGCCGACAGGCATAGGCCCAAATTTGAGAGGGCCCAAGGGGAGGCTCTGGTCTCTGACTTCAGCCTCTCCTGTAAAATCCCACCTGGTGTGATTAAGAGGCCTCGCTGGGCTGTAGGCCCCCGGTGACAAAACAACAAGTCTCTCCCTCTCTCCCTCTCCGGTTAAAGAGCATCCCAGCCGGTCTTTCCCACCCAGTGGTGCTGTTGAGATATTTTAAAATATTGCCTCCGTTTTATCGAGGAGAGAAATATTAACTAAAAAATATACCCTTTAAAAATTTTTTGTATTTCTCTGTCTAAAGATAAAGGAGCCAAGATTCTGTGGATGGAAGAGACAAAGCTGTCCTCTGACTCTCAGAGAGGTCCACCTGGTCCGTCGTGGCGATGGTTTTCATTCTGTTGTCGTGGTGGTGGTTTCATTTCAACCCCATCTTGCTTTTCTTCTTGGTCTATACCAAGAGGCCAAGGGGCAAGCAGGTTCTCCGATAACTGCCCCTCTCCATCTCCTCATTTTCTTTAGATCTGATTAGTTCTGGTGGTGGACCCAAACTTAGGGAATCGTTGTTTTAGAGTGGTGGGTGGCAAAGAGGGGCAGGGGATATGGGGGTGTGCTTGGGGCCAGGTTCCTGCCTCCATGTCTTATTCCCACTTTCTCGCTGTAACATTCCTTTATAGCCCCCAAAACTGTCTGTCCCAAAGAGAGGAGGAAGCAGGAAAGCATTTAGGGATAATGTCAGGCCGGTAGAATTAAGCTTCCCACCTGTCCTAACCACAATAAAGGGTCTCCCAACTTCCATCTCTGGCTCTATATGCTTTATCCCAAAATGAGGCAGATAACATTCAGACATCGGCCATTTAGTGATTTAAGGTGAATTCCCAGCAGCAAGCATGCTTTGATATCTGGTTCAAACTACCGTTGGAAAAATAAATCCCACAGTACCTGAAATGTGATTGTTGCAGTGTTCAGTTTCCTTGGGATCCTGCTCCCTTCACACGTTAAGCCCACGTCCTTTTCCTTTTGGCTGATTCAGCTCCCAGGAGAGACCGGGAAGTGTGGCAAGGGACTTGGGAAACTTTACTTGGATAAGGCACAGCTCCACTCATCGCTGATACTTGCCCAGCAGGAAAATTGTGAAAGTTACACTACCAGAAAGCAAAAGGAATATGGTTTGGTGGTTAAGGTTTAGCGGGATAAAGGGCTTGCCTTGGTGGGTCCACCTTTGACCCCTGTATTAGGTCTTGGGGCAGTTCCTCGCCCTCCTGCGCATCACCTCCATTTCCCCATCCTCGGCGAGAAAACGAGCTGAGGTGAAAAGCACTTGGGAGATTTGTATGATCTGAGAAAAGTGACTTGTGCTCTGAGATATATATGGTGTGCGCACTACATATATATTTTTAAGAAAGGACCATCTCTTTAGGATATATTTTTTAATTCTGTGGACTACATAAAGAACCAAAATGGTTTGATTCACTGACTTTGAAGCTGCATCTGACAGTTATACCCCAATGGCTTTAATCCCCTGGAGGGTCTGGTTGCCTTTTGCAGGTCGGGTTTTGGACTCAGCTCCTCTGAGGCCTCTGGGTAGGAGGGAGCC